TAGGGAAAGCCATGCAAGAGTCCAGGTGAGGACCCAAGATCTATCTAATCTCAACTGAACCAGCACTGGTTTTAGCACCAGGGCCTCATACTTTCGAGGATGACTTAAAAGTTACTAAAAAACTTCAGCTGTTGATGCTTGCTCACAGTTTACTTTACTTTAGGCTTCATTGGCTAAAACAGGCATTTAGATGCCTGCATGTAGACACCAAATTTAGGACACTTAACCTAGAGCTGAATTCCACCCTGTGTGTATCTCTGGAATTGCCAAACTGGAGGTTGCTAGCTCCTCCAGAGGAGGACACTAGGCTAAATATGCTGAGATTTGGCTTTCTGCATTTTTTTCTTATGAGAGCGCTGTTTCCTACCACATGGTTATAGAAAGGTTGTGGCATAAGTACTACTCTGGTATCTCTGAGAGAGATACACACCAAGCTAAGCCTCGGCCCACAGCCTAGGCAGCTGAATGTCTGCTCAATTGTACTTACCCTGTTTGCACAATCCCATCACATACATGATTTAACGTATGTGAAACTGCCACCCTCAGGGTCTATATTCCTTGTGGATATTGCCATACAATATCTAGCACAAGTAGGGTCACAGGCTGCTTTTATGAGGCAGAAATGCTGCAAGATACCATTAAATACCTCATTAGTACTTCAGACCCAAACCCAAACTCCAGATCACTAATTAGTCTTCCCCACCACCACTAGGTTTCAGGGCACACTGCATCCAGAGCTAACTTTATTTACATCACCCTATCTCCCAGGCTAACTTAACCTGAAAGAAACCTCCCTTCTAACGTCTGCCTCAAATTATTCATCCTTTCCTGCACGAAGACACTGCATATCTGTTAGGGCAGCGATTAGGATGAGGTACACTAAGAACATCACAAACTAGGGTTTTCTGATTTTAGGTGTCTACAGACCCTTTTTCTTCCCATTGCTTTTAGCTGTTAGCAGTTGGTAGTTTAAGAAAAACAACTTTAGGAAAAAATACTTTGAATCACATAAAGTTTATTTACTTAGTAAAGTTATATTACAATATATACAGTTTCTATTTACATATACACCTTTCTAAGAAATGAAGCACCATATGATACAGTTAGTATTTTAGAGGAATCTACAGAAATTTTACTTGTGCATCCAAATAGCTGTATCTACAGATTGGTTAGAACCAAGTTCTCCTAAGACGCTGACTTTGGTGGGTTTTGGATTAGACTGCTAGTGAAGTTACCAAAGAGAAATTTAACTGCTGTCAGCTATCAATCTGCCATGCTTCAGGATGAGCTATGTCATTTCAGGGGCTATGTGCAAACTTAATCTGCAGAGAAAGTCGGAGGTACAGATAGAAGGTATTTTACAAGATACAAGAATGCAACACTTTCATCAGTAAGTTTTTTACTGTCATGAGAAACAGAGTTTCAATAGAACGGAAAAAGAACACTGCTTAAGTGTTTATATGCATTATGCAAAGTGAAGTTAAGAACCTGGAAGCTTATGTGATATGGTATCATGCATTCCCCAAGGAATCCACTTACTCTTAAAGAGCCCAGTCTTACAGCTACTGAAGCTTGTGGCATGATCCCCTTAACTCAAGGAGAAAGACCAGCTGTTTGCTTTGTAATCTTTATGCCACTGTCAAGAACAAAAGAAGGCTCTGTCCAAGGTACAAAATTTACTTCAAGTGAATAAAAGCCATTTGGAGGGGGAAACCGTAGAATGAGGTATTTAATAAACTACAGGAAAAAATAAAGCGCCTGACTGTTTTGAAAAACATCTTAGATGTTTTACATATGCAATTGTTACATTCACCTGATTGTGGGTCAAGTCTTGTATAAACTATTTATACCTTTTGTGTTACCTAACTTAGGCTTTTCATATTTTTGCTTCACTAGATGTCAGATCTAATGGCTGGAAGAAAGCATTGTTACTCTGAGGACAGTTATTATGACAGACACAGGTGCTGATCAACATCATTGGCTTTTTTAGGACTTTGCCCTGAGGACAGCGGAACTCAACTTGGATCGTTTTGGTGTTGTGTGGGGTACAGCATCGCCCATCATTGCAGAGGCCACAGTAACGTGGTTTGTATGCCTGCACACTAGTGCAGTTCTTGTATTCAAAGCGAAGAGCTTTCAGGGACTTCTTTGTTCGGATACATTTCTTCCCTTTCTAAGAGAAATATGAAGAGACATTAGATACATCATTGCATAAGACAGAAAGCAGTTAAAAATTGACATGCAAGGATATAGGTCTACTCTGAAAACTTAAATTTTTTGTCTTTGCTCGTTCAACAGCACTAAGACTCTGTAGCTACTTCAGCAGTTACTTACAGGTAAATCCAGCAAGATCTGCCCTCTGACACCAGTGTGTTGCTGGGCCAGTAAATAAATGACAAATAATTAAAGCCCACTCTTGTCATCTGCGACAAGCCAAACCAAAATTCATTATGAAACTGTAGTCTACTGGAAAACTTCTCAGGCTAGTGTAGTTCCATCAGAGAATCAGGAAGCTAAATGAGCAAGTTACAGGACTAGACTCAGGGGAAAAAAGAGGGTTAAAACAAACCTCAAAAGTCATTGCCAATTCTTGTGACCCAAGGCAGAATCAGATTTATCCATGTTATTCTTAACAGATGTTGTCTAAGTTGTTATTAGAAGTCTTCAGTGACAGAGATTCCACATCTGCCCCAGACAATCCTAACAGTTCACTATTCTTACTGCTTGGAAGGTTTTCACTCGTCCTAATTTTTATGCAGTTTAAATTCACCGTTTCTTGTTGTATTCCCCATGGACTGAGAACAGGCTGCAATATCTGAACAGTTATGAGAATGCATCTCTGGTCTCTTGCATTCAGAAAAAGTTCAGTTCAATCAACTTTCCCTAGCAGAACATGTTTTCTAGACCTTTGATCATTCTTGCTAGTCTCCCCACCTCTTCCCAAATGTTTCATATCCTTTTCAAAACATGGTATTTAAAACTGCAAGTATTCAGCAAAGGCCTTAGCAACGCTTTCCAACACTCAGAACATTACATAAAGTGATGGTCCTTTTACCTAGCTACATGTTATTCTCCCTGACAGTAACAGTTGTATAATGTGTAGAACCAGCAGAAGTCAGCTCCCTTAGATACACATTTATTGCACCTGAAGTGCCAGTGTTGGATTTACTTTTTGAAAAAGCATCATAAGGATTAAGATAAGGTTTAATTTACCCAAGCAGATTTTGCAGGATTCAAGACATTTCTCTGCAGTTCCAGGTGCTCAACAGACTAGAAATCTGGCATATGCATCCGCATGATTGGAGCAGCTCTGAAGCATACATACGGGTAGTACAATTGCATTTGTGGGAGAACTTAGACTGCAGGAGCTGTCGGAATAGTCTGCACATGCAATACACCCGATCTGTTTAGGGTGGCTCGAATTAGCATAGAATCATAGAATGGTTCAGGTTGGAAGGGACCTTTAAAGATCATCTAGTCCAACCCCCCTGCAACGAGCAGGGACATCTTCAACTAGATCAGGTTGCTCAGAGCCCCATCCAACCTGACCTTGAATGTTTCCAGGGGTGGGGCATCTACTGATCATCTACTGGACCTCTCTGGGCATCCTGGTCCAGTGCTTCACCACCCTCACTGTAAAAAATTTTTTCCTTAGATCTAGTCTGAATCTCTCCTCTTTTAGTTTAAAACCATTATCCCTTGTGCTATCACTACAGGCACTACTAAAAAGTCTTTCTTGTAAGTATTTTATATATATATATACACACGCACATATATATAAAAAAGCCCTTTAAGTATTGAAAAGGTGCAATAAGTTCTCCCCTGAGCCTTCTCTTCTCCAGGCTGAACAACCCCAACTCTCTCAGCTTTCCTCATCATAGGAGAGGTGCTCCATCCCTCCAATTTTTGTGGCCCTTCTCTGAACCCACTCCAGCAGGTCTATTCCCGTGCTGAGGGCTCCAGAGCTGGATGCAGTACTCCAGGTGGGGTCTCACCAGATTGGAGTAGAGGGGCTGAATCACCCCCCTCACCTGCTGGAGGTGCAGCACAATGCTATTGAGCAAACACAGCAAATCCAATGCTTACCAAAAACACTGGGCTTGCTGCACATATGCCAAAAGGTGTATTTACATAGACTTGCATCTGGAGCATTCTAGACCACAATATTGCAACGTTGGAATTACAACTGAAGAGACTCGGCTCCCCTGCTACTCTTTGCAGCATACCTTATCAGATGGCTCTTCATTTTCACAAGGTCTTATCATGCAAAGACGTGTCTGCTTCACCATCTCACACTGTTGATTTCTGTTGGTAACACGGGTGGAAAAGCCCATTCCACAGCTTTTGGAACAAGCACTCCATTCTGTTGTCTGCTCAATACAATTGGCACTTGAATCTGACACATCAATCCCGAGTGTGGCCTCTTGTCTGTAGGCTAGAGACAAAACCTCACAGAACTTTATTACAAGGAAAACTCACATAAAAACCCAGTATCTAATTGAGCTCTACCACATCTAGGAAGAAACACACGAGACAAAGGTCCAAACCCCATGCTTTTGAGAGGATTTAGGAATCTTAAAAGCTGTCTTTTTAGGAGCCCTGGATGGCAACTTCCTACATCTAAAAATAACAGAAAGGTGCATATCAGTGTAATCAGCAAAGCATTTAGATTCAGTTTACTCAAGTCCACAGCTGGAAGAATTATTGCCATTTTTTTAACCAGTTTAGAACTCTACTTTGATAACT